CTGCTCCTCCTTTTCCTCTATTCCCTTCCCCAGACCATAGTCTTTTATGAAACCAAGGGGATTATGATTGTCTTTTCTCTGTTATATTTCCAATATTTAGCAGAATCCTTGTTACAAAGTAAATGCTCAATAAATAAATGAGTGGATAAATTTAAAAAATTAAGTTGTGGTCTGGGTGTGTTTCCTTCTTTCCTGAAGACCCTGGGAAGATCACTTAATCCCTGTGTTCCCAAATCTGACTGTACTTCAGGATCACCTTGGGAGCTTTTAAAAAACAGGGATTGTTCCCCACCCCCAGGCACAGCAAACAGTACTTTACAAAATGCCCATAAATGGTTATGAGGGACTGTAAGGTTTGAAAAGCAAGGATTTAACCTATCTGGCCTCACTTTCCTCATCTGGAAAACAACTGGCAGGCCCTGCCACCTCACAGGATGTCACTAAGGACAAATCTAATGAACTGCAAAGTACTCAAAGGAGGGATGTATTATGACTGTGCCAGGCAGAACAAGAACTGAGAGTGACCAAACAGACCTGCCAGAGAGAACAAACACCATTTTACAACCCGGTGTTTATGGCTCATACATGACTCATCAAATGTCTTAGATTTGAGTAAGACTGTTTTCTGAACAAATCAATTCCTCACTTTTTGCCTATAAATCTACTATATCTCCCTTTTGCTAAACTTGGCTACAAAGTACCTATTTTATATAAAAGGTGTGGGAGGTTATCAGAAAGACAGAGTGGTTTGGGGAAAGACTATTCATTCGTTCCTGGCTTTTTTTTATCCACTCAACTGTTCAGAATTGGTCATTTCTGTCTCATGCAACATGATGCCTCAGACTAATGCTCTGACCCAGCATCAACACAATTGTTGCAGACACCATTAGTGCTCCAGCTTTATTGTTTCTGTGTGCCTATCCCCCAGCTTCTGCACACATAGGTCTAACATAACTCACTGGCATCTTTCTTCAGAGAAAGACCCTAGGGCTACAGGAGCCCCTTAGGCAGGTTGCACTGAAAGCCAGAAAGGGGATGGAGGCACTGATGTCCCACCCCGTTCCCCCAGGGCAGCAGGTGGCCAGCCCCTGACCGATAGAGGAGTATGAAAGCCCAGATCATTTGCCTTGATGCAGAATAAACTATGCAGTGTCATTTATACTCCGGGGCACCCATGGGATTAGTCTGAGAATGAGACCTCTTTGCTCAGCTTCTTCCTCTTCCCTATTCTACTTCCCCTACTCCCTTAGCGTTTCTTACTTAAGAACTTCCTTGATAATCATCTGTCCATAAATCTTCAACTCAGGGTCTTTCTCATAATGTCCTCATTGTGCTCAACTACAGGTATAATAATGTAAAAACAACTTTTTATTTGCATTTATCTGATTTCTGATATGGAGTGTGCATCTGTGTATCCGTAATAGTTTAGTCAGTTGATTTCTTCTTTTGTTATCTCAAGTTCTTTGCCCATGCTATTAATTTTGATTATGTGGGGGTTTTTTTTGAGGTGCATACAGGAAGATAAATCTTAAATGGACAGCTCAACAAATCCTTACATATGTACACACCCATGTGACCACCACCTAGATCAAGATACAGAACATTTTCAGCATCCAGAGGCTCCCCAGTATCTCCTCCCTGTCAGCAGTCAACACTCCCAAATAGTCACCATTCTACTTCTAACTTCATAGATAAGTTTAACCTGTTAAATACTTTTTATAAATACAAACATCCTGTATATACTCTTTTGTGTTGGTCTTCTTTTATTTAACATCATGTTTGGAACATTCATCCATATTGCATATATCATTTATTCTTTTTCATTACTGTGTTGTTTTCCATTTATGGATATGTCATATTTTATTTACTCATTCTATAGTTGATGGAAATTTGGGTTGTATGCAATTTGGAGCTATTATGAATATAACTTCTATGAAAATTCTTTACATATATTTTGGCAGACATAAGCACTTATTTCTAAGTGTATATCCAGGACTGGACTTGCCGGGTCATGGGTTATATAATTGACTAACCTTGACTGCTGCAATAGCAAACATTAACTCTGTCATACTCAGGTAAAATTCCCCCCTACTTGGTTGCTTGCCTTTTAAATTTTAGTTATCTTCTTTCTTTCCCCCAAGTTTTATTGTAGGATAATTTTCATACATAAAATTCCCCACTTTAAGTGTAAATTTTTAAGAATTTTGGCTAGGATTATAGTCATGTAACCACCACTGCAATCAAAATAGAGAACATTTCCATCACCTTAATTATCTTCTATTCTAATATAGAAATGTTTACATTTTGATGCAATCATATATGACTTATCTCCCATTATTTCTTGATTTTTAAAATACCTAACCTGTTAATTCTTCTAGATGAACTCTAGAATTACAAAGTGTCAGAACAAGTGCTATTGCCTTCTTACCTAGAAATACAAACATGTAATAAATTTAGTCTTAGCTCTTGAGAGCAGCATAGGAATCCCAGTCACTTATTTGGCTGGGTGACGTGAAGGAAGCCACTAGCCTCTCTGATACCAGTTTGTTCTACTGTAACATGATTATGATCGTGGTGCCTGTGCAGTGAGATTGTTGTAAGAAGTGGTGAGAATAACTAATATATAGCAAGGACTTGCTTCTTGCCAGTGAGTATTTCCAGCATTTTATTCATAGTGACTCAGTTAAATCTTACAACAATCCCCTGAGGTATGAATTGCCCTGTGCTGATTTTATAGGTAGAGAAACTGAAACAGAGAGAAGTAAACTGAGTCAGGCTCAAGAGCTGTGTGCTGGCTATTGCAATGTTTATCTGCCTTATAGATAAGGAGGCAAACAGGGAGAGGCAAGACACAGTACCTAGCAGAAAGAACACAGAAGTGCTGACTTTCATTATTATTATTCATCATTTTTATACACTCAATGAAGTCATATAATTGTCTTCATATAGGTCATGCACATTTCTTGTTCAGGTTGCTCATAAATATTTTATGCCCTTTCATACTACTGTGCCTGAGATGCCTCTTTTTCCATTACGTTTTCTCACTGGTTATTGTGGAATGTAGTGGAAGCTATTGACTCCTTTATACTGTGCAGCTGAAAGAACCTTGTGCCATCTAAAATACCCCTCCAAAAAGTGACTTTAATTATATACAGTGCTCTTTTAATATCAAGTGAAGTTAGTAGATAGGTAATGAGGAAAAAATGGAGATTAGAAATAAAAATTTAGATTCTTTCTCCCTTAGTTAAAGACAAAAAGGAGGGAAAAGTAGAAAGAAATATTACATTTCTCTGAGAATAGTACACAAAAGCACATTAATTCCCTCCCCAAAAGAGCCACTTTAGTCTCAAGCTCCTTTTTTTTTTAATTTTTTTATTTTGGTATCATTCATCTACAATTACATGAAGAACATTATGTTTACTAGGCTCTCCCCTTCACCAAGTCCCCCCCATATACCCCTTCACTCAAGCTCCTTTTTAATATGATACTTTAAAATGATATTTACGATTTAAATTGACTAAGTATCTTTTCCATTTTTATTGAGATATAACTAACATAGAGCACTGTGTAAGTTTAAGGTATACAGCATAATGATAGTAAAATTGTTTAATGTCTTCTCACCACTTGGAGAATTCTGAAATGAGAAAACACTTCTTTCTACCTAGATGTTGCTATCTTTTATTGTTCTTGTTAATCTGATCAGGAAAAAAAATCGACTTTTGAAAAATTGATTTCTCTTAACATGTATAACCAAACATTGTACTTAGGGTTGGGTAAAAATTTCTTCTTGGCCAAAATATTCAAAGATCTTGACCTTTGTATAGTAGAAATATTTAAAAGTGACTTTGTCAGCTCTCTTGAGAACATTTTAGTGCCAGTGGAGGTATGCCTGTGTCGAAGTAACATAGTGACTGATCTGCTGTCATTAGGAAGCCAATGGGAAAAGGCGCTGTAGTCAAAGAACAAGTAGAATAACTCAAGGAGAGTCTACTAAAGGGCTGTTTGCCAAAGGTGTGGTCAGATAGTGGGGCTACAAGGGATGGTGCAGTATGCTAGGGCCAATAATAGTGAAACTGTTGCCACTCCAGACCAGACGGGAAAGGGGAAAGGAGCTGTGATGGAAAGGTAGAGAGCCTGTAGCTAAGCCACATTATGAGGATTCCAAAAGAGCAGGCCTACCTCAGTCCAATAATAAGCCAAATGTGCACTGAAAAAGGCCCATTTACAGCACTAGAAAAGATGGGCGTTCCCTATAGCCACTCAATACATGTTTCTTGAAATTAATTTTACTAAAAATAACAAAATTAGCTAATATATTAGTCAGAAATTTGGGTTTATGAATGACAAAGACCTATGTCAAATTGGCTTGTACAAAGAAAGAGAGTTTATTTGATCACAGTTGGGAAAGTCGAAGTCAGGAGTGCAAGTAGCTTCATATGTAGCCAGGGGCTCAAATAATTATAAATCTCTCAGTATGAACAAGCATGAGAACCCCAGCACCGTCAGGCTCCTTATTTATTTCTCCCAAGAGGAGCTGTGATCTGGGTCTGCAGGTACACTGGTGCAGAGGGGACAAGTGAAGGCTAAAATCCAGCAGAAAACTCAGGTCATCAAACCATGAGCCATGGCCTGGGGAACTGAGAAAAGGATCTGGTGTGTGGACAGAGTTCAGCTCTTCCAGTGCCCTTTATTTTGCCTGATCAGCTCATCTGTCTTCCATTCTGCACTCCCTCCTTGTGCTAAGCAGTCTGCCAGGGAGAACAAAGTCTAAAGATACCAGCCATGCCAGCACCTGGCTGTAAATTAAACTAACTAATGAGTAGAGTGTTAGAGAGTGTTTTGGGCAGCAATCCAAAGCCATGAGCTCAGTCAGCTTCACAGTAAAAAAACCATTTCATCTCCATTCACCCAACCTCTCCATTTACCTCTTAATTTCTTCTGGATTTAGGCAAAAAGGAGTGTTATGTTTTGGACCCTAAAGACCCCAACAACAGTGTTACCTGGGTATTTTCTCTTTCCATCTCAACAATGCTTCCCCCTCTATGCTTCATTCTCAGGCAGATTTTCCTCATTTTTGAGCAAAGACAACAAAACAAGCTCAAGGTGAACATTGATCTTGCTGGTCACAATTCCTGTGAAAAGAGAAATAATAACTCTAGCAGATAGCATGAGGGAAGTTTTCATTGGCTCAGCATGGGTCAACTGTCTATCCCTGAACAGGACAGAAGCACCCAGACTGGCCAGAGCTAGATAATTTGACTACTCCAGTTGCTGGGGAATGGGTCAGTCTCGCCTGGGCCACATGGGGTAAGAATGGAGGGAGGGACGACCCTCACATGCAGATTGAGCAGAGAGTAACCGGTTTAGTCTCAGTAGATTGCTAAGGACTTTAAAATGCTTAACATTTTTTTTTTATTATTACTGGTTGATAACTTTAGCTATACGCTGAAACCACCTAAGGAGCACACACAACCCCAGACCAATTAAATTAGTCTCTGGGGGCTGGGACCCTGGTTTAACCTTTTTACAGAAACCAAGGTGCTGCTGAAATGCAGTCAGGATTGACAAACATATATGTAGAGCATTATTTCTTAGTCTGGGGCCAATTAAGGATGGCATTGATCTTGTTCTATAGCTACCTTTAACTCGTTATTCAGAATAGAGAGACTCTGGGTAGCGGGAGATTCTGGAAAGACGGGATGAACAGTGACATGGCTTTTAAAGCTTTCTACAGGAAAGCAGACAGAGCGACCAAATAGGAACACCAAAAACCCAGGAGGAATGTATACAACTAAACTAGGCCACAGACCACAAAATTAAAGCAAGTGACAGCAAAAGGATGTCTATGCAGCTGGATGCACAGGAGAAGCACCTGGATGTCTGAAGGAGGTGAGACAAGGAGCTCTGCAGACAGTGCTCCCTGCCGGGGCGGCGCCCCACCCAGGGCAGACACTCCTGGGACTGCAATCAAACTGAGCAGAACAGGGCCAATAGAAAAGGAAGGAAAGAGAGAGTCCCAAGGCAGGGGAGAACAACAGAGCTGGAAATTTTCACAAAATAGGCAACTGCAGAATATGGAAGGTGAAACACTAAACTAAAAAAATTATGAACTTAGGCAGCAAAATTTATGAAATTTTACACTTCCACTCCATATGTTTGTTATTATTTAACACTTTTTTCAGTAAGTATATATTGCTGGAACAGCAAGCATGTATTTTTAAACATATGTATGTTTTAATACAACATATATATAATATATATAAATAATTCAAATATATATTATGAAATGCATAATATATAAATTAAATATTAATTTATATATATATATTACATATGAAGTAATATTTGAAAACTGGTACTCTAAAATATGGGTGCCTGAACTAGCTAGTATATCCCAAAGGCAGTGCAGGTAAGACTCACTTTGACATCACCAAAGTGAAACGCTATAGATCTGGTTAACCCAAACCAGGAAATCGAGAAGGAAAGAGGGACCTTCCAAAAAGACTATGAAAACAGGCCATTGGTCTCATAACCTTCCACTACCGATTGGTATTGTTTAAACGTAATGAAGACAGTAATAGTAACTATATGAATGAATGAGTATAAAACATGAATGATTATAGAGTGCAAAAAAACTTTTAATTAGTTTTTTGAACGAACCTTAAAAGTCAAGAAAGCATTTCAAGAAAATGAAAAAAAACTAGAATGCAAATTATTTAGAACCTGGAAGTGGAGAGCACAGTAGTGTTGGACTAAACTCAGTTTCATTAATTAGAGTTGCTTGAATAGTACTTCTACAATAAAGGCTCATTCTTTCCTCTGTTGTGACAAACATATGAGGTACTTCATAAGCATATAAAATTTCTCGCCATTTTCCACGTAGTAGCCAAGATTCTAGCTTCTTCTCACCTCAAAACAACATATTTGAATGTGAGAGATTCTTAACTCCCCTTTATTTATAAAACTAGGGAAAATCTTGGAAAACTTCAGTACAACTATTTTCAATAACTACATAGTGTTTAGTGGAATAGACCTGTTTGACTGGTTATCCAACCATTTCCTCAGTCCATATCCCCAGGCAAGTTACTTTACATCTCCAAACCTCATGTTCTCCATCTGTAAAATGGGTGTAATCATTGTGTACATGCTGCTGATAATGAAATGAAATAATGAATGTAGAGCATTTAGCACAATGCCAAAATGTTGACTAATAATAATAATAACTTACCAATAACAATCTCAGTGTGGATAGCAATACACTAGTATGAAGAGGAAAAATTAATCTAGTCTACATTTCATCCTTAATTTAACTCTTTAAATGTTTCTCTCATTCAGTACTCAGGTAAATAAATCATTTATTATTCATTTAAAAAAATTGTGAGTACCTATTGTGTATAAGGCACACACACATTTAATAGTCATTAGATAGGAACGGTAGTATTAGGTTTTCTACCATTTTATTTAGGTTTTATTTCCTTCAGGGCACTCCTCAAATGAAAGGCTGTTTAAAACCAACTGGAGGGGTGGGGGCCTGTACAGAGAGCTCTTCTTCTGCCTCTGAGCCTCGGCAGGACAGGGGCAGGCTTCTGGAGGACTGGGCAGAGAGACGACAGGTGTGGGGCTTGGAGCAGCTCTCTGAACCCAAGGAAAGAGGTGTGTGGAATCACAGACACCAGCCGATTGCAGAAAAGCCCTGAGTTCTTCTTAACACTTGAGTTCTGAGTTGTCAGGTCCCAGGAACTTGGGCAACAAGCCACCCTCAGTTTCAGTCCCTGGCATCAGAGCAGTACAACAACCAGCTGGCTTCCTGTACGTGATTGCAAATGACTTGTTGTGAGTGATTTCTCACCGAGGTGATTAAATCAACTAGTGGACTTAGTGTCTGTGTAGACAAAGACTTAGAACCTGTTTTATGTGGTGGAATTTTCATGTCTACTCTCTTTCCAGTCATTTTTGTCTACAAGCTGTTGGCCATGAGAATTATTTACATTTTAATTATGAGTGCTCAACCCCCAGTGAGAGGGAAGTCAAGCAGCTTATTTACTTCCTACTGGCAGGCTTCTGAGGAAACAGCTTAGCCAAGCTTGCTGAGGCATTGAACCAAAATAAAGTCACTTGCAGAAGAGCAGCACCACGTCCTTGTTGGCCAGTTCTGCTTCTCCTCCTCTGAGGCTTCTCATGAGGACCAAAGCAGAAATGAACTGGTCTGTGTGGCAGTCAAAATATGGCACCATTTTTTTCCCCTCCCATTTCTCTGGATGATGCTAACTTCTAACATGCCTATTTGCATGTATATACAGAATTCATTTGTTCAGCATAGCTAGGGAATGAGTTTGTTCTGTGTGCCTTTTCAAATAAGGTTATCCCTTTAATCATTTAACCTTTTCCTTGTTTATGAAGAAATATTTTTAAATATTAATCAGCCTCATCCCCCTACTAAAACAGAAAGCAAACTTCCCTTCATGACACATGGCCATCATTACGGATTAGTCATTGAGATGCACTCTGATACTCACAAGAGCTATGGAGGAGAGAGAACTTGCTTTCCCCGACATTAAATAATCCCGCGTGCTACATCCTGAGTTTCTGCTTCTGCCTTTGTCTCTTCCTTCGTGTTCAGCTGCCTGTCTCTAACAGCCCCTTTCATCACTTGTAATGTGTGATTTTTAATCTGCCATGAATTGGGAAATCAGATAAGCCTGTTTCCTAGAACTACATGCCTGACATAATGTTCCAGCAACAGAGTGCATAAATTTCAGTGCATACTTGGCTATTAGTTAGGATGTTTTGGGCTGAAAATAATTTAAAATCATGAACAAGGCAATTTATTGTCTCATAGAGCAAAGAGGCTCCAAGGAGGATGGAGTCCAGGCATGATATTTCCAGCCTTGTTTTACTCCTGGGTAAATCTACCGGCTTTGCCTTCTTCCACACTTGGCTTTATCCTCCAGCTGGTGGCAATATGGCCGCAGTGGTTCCATAGGTGCATCCTAACACAATAATGTTCCAAGGAAGGAGAGAGAACATCTCCTTCTGTGTCTCTTTTGGGAGAAGGAAACTTTTGCCCAGGCCCCTGAGCAGACTTCCTCCTCAGAGCCCAGAATTGCCATTTTTAAACCAACCACTGACTAGGGGGGATATAATCCTCATGACTGACTTGGACTGATTAGCATTTCCAAATTCAATTCTCTTAGGGGGAAAAAAGGCAAAAGTAGATATTAGGAAGGAAACTGACACTGTACTCTAGAAACAGAAATTATTTACTTTTGATTTTTTTTACACAATTTTTTGTAGATTTGTGACTGTGTCTATAATTAGTTCAGATTTGGAACAGATCACTTTTAGAAAAGTGAGGTATTATTTCAAAATGAAATGGTAAACAGAGATATTTAGTGAAAAACTAACATTGGGACAATGTAGGTGGAGAGTACTCACCAGTACAGACAAAGCTTGGTGGTTGCTTCTCTGTAAATATTATTGTGCTTGAATGATTCTACCTCAAGTAAAATGACTACACTGTTTATTACAAGGAAATGTTCAGAAGAAGGTGCTGTTGAGAGGGAGGAGCTGCAGAGGTGCCCATGGCCTTTCATAAAGGCTAGATACCCTCCAAATGACCACAGGTAAATGCATTGACAGGAAGACCCCAGAAACCAGTATTTTCTTCTTGGAGCACATTAGGAAGGAATCTTAAGACCTAGACCACTCTTTAGGGTATAAGCAGTCACAGATAAATTAGGCAGCTTTTGCTTTTTTCTTGCAGCTCTGGATAGCATTATGTGGGGAGCACAAATGATATTTCTTCAGTTAGCATAAGAATATAGATGCAGGACTATTCTTCTACATCATGTAATGGATCTCTCATTTCATGGAGTTTAGCTCCCCTTGGAATTGGTCCCCAACTCTTCTCCTCACCCCCAAGTGTGATTGATGTTCCTTCTCTTTGCTTCCTTAGCACTCTGTTCACGTTTCCAACATCATACCACACTGGATTATAATCTTGGGTTTTTGTTTACCTTTTCTCCTAAATTCCAGGTATCTTGACAAAGGAACCAGGTTCTACTACTTTTATATCCACAGAGTCCCAGCACTTAATGAGTATCTGTCCGAAGGATGGCCGAATACATGAAGA